CTTTCAGATTTCTTCCTATTTAACTAAGGGAACAATTTGAGGAAATAATGATCAAATTATTCAGATTAATGGAATCATTTTTCTTGCCATCACATTTCACTCTTTTTTAATATATCTTACTTTTCTACAATTGCCAGAGCTTCTCCTTGTGAGGCTGAGCTTCAGGAATTAATGGAACAAATTGACATCATGGTAAGCAACAAAAAATTGGATTGGGAAAGGAAGATGCGGGCTTTAGAGACGCGATTAGATCTTCGGGATCAAGAGTTGGCAAATGCACAAACTTGTTTGGATCAGAAAGGTCAAGAGGTACTGAATACATGTGTTAACAAATCATTAATTCTTCAGACTTTTATAAATAGTATTTATTCTATCAGAATGTGTTTTTCATCATACATAATTTTTATCAAGCAGCAGCAGCATTTATTCTTTGAAATGTTTGCCAGTAAATAGTCTGCTAAATGTGTTCTATCAAATGATTGGCAGTCAGGGCCTAAATCCATAGAAATTTGCTGATGCTGACAGACAAATACTGTCAATTTCATCTAGAAAAGTAAACACACATTTAATATATATGTGAAGTAAATATTGTTTAGAAGCAAAGTGCTTTTGCTGCTATAGAAACAAAGTAGTAGTCATCAGAGCTGTGACTTTGGATCAGGTAGAGTTCAGGAGCACTTGCCTCTTCTAATCTGCTGGGAAAGTATTTCCTGAAGGAGATGAAATGTCAAGAATGGATTACAGAACAAAGGAGAAAAGAGTTAGGTGAAGGTGTGCATGTAGAGCTGGATCACCTACTTAAGAGGGCTCTCTGCTTACTGCCAAACTGTGGATCTCAGGCCTGCAAATAGTGGATTTTTGTGCTTCTGAATTATTCTTTAATGAGCTCTAGTTGTTGTTATTGTTATGTGCCATCATAGTGCTGGCATAGTGAATAAGGCATTTGACTGCTAACCAGAAGGTCAGCAGTTCAAACCCACTAGCTGTTCCATGGAAGGAAGATGGAGCAATCTATTTCTGTAAAGATTTAAAGCCTTAGAAACCCAATGGGAGTCCCTATGAGTCAGAATCGACTCAATGGCAGTAGGTTTGGTTTGAATTTTTCTTTTGGGCTAGTCAAAAGAGAAATACTTACTAATCATATACTAAAACATCATCAATTTGTTCATCATCCATTTGCTTATCATTATTGCTTCTCAATGGAACTTAGGGTCCACAAGGGGAGAAAAAAAGTCCTCGGTATCCATTTTCTCTTCAAGGTGGAGCCATGTCATCAAGCCTGACAAGCAAGGGACTATTCATTCACTTTTATACCTTACTCACAATGACCCCCTATGTACAACAGAATGAAACACTGCCCAACACAGATGTGTAAACAGTTGCCTCACCTGCTTTTTAAGCGGACAAATTCTACAAACCAACTCCTTAAGAACTGCTCTAAGAAATTTTTTTATAGGTTAGTTCTTATAAGAAAATATAACAATTATTTTGTAGTACCACCATAACAGAGCTCCTACTGAAGGCTGTTGTTGTTAGGTGCTGCCAAAGAGATTTCAACTCATAGAGACCCTATGTGGCAGAGTAAAACTGCCTCACACAGTTTTTTTAGGCTGTTAGTGTAGTGCCTAAGGCATTTGACTGCTAACCACATGGCTGGCAGTTCAAATCCACCGGCCACTCCTTGGAAGGAAGATTGGGCAATCTACTTTTGTAGTGATACCACCTTGTAAAACCCAAGGAGGGGTCGCTATGAGTCGTGTCCAACTCGACAGCACATAACAACAACAACAATCTTTATAACAGGACTTCAAACTGGTTCTTCTCAGTCCAGTCATGGCCAACAAAGTCAAACCAGAATGGACCTGAATTTCTTTTTTTTAATTGTGGTGAAGGTTTACAGAGCAAATTCACTTTCCATACAGCAGTTCACATACGCTTTGTCTCATGACATTGACCAGAGTTTACCACAATGCAACAGCTCCCCTCCCACTTCCTTCCCATAGTTACCTCTTCCCTGTGTCCATCCCTTCATGCACTCCTGCCCCCTGAGCTGTCTCTCTGTGCATGAGCAGCCCTTCTTTCTCCCATGATTGTTCTCTCCAAGGAGTGTATCTACTTCAGGTAAATGTTCAACTCATATGCCTGTCTTTTGTTTGCCTGGAAACTACAGGTGTGGGTTCAATTCCAGACCTGAAGGGCAGCTAGGGGCCATAGTCTCAGTGGTTCCACCAGGCTCTACCGGACCAGCAAACCTGGTCCCCACCTTTTTTTTTTTCTTCTCCAAATGATTTTGAGTTTTGTTGCACATTGTTATCCTGCTCTATCAAGGATCTCCTACATCGATCCCCTTCCAAGTGGATGACAGTGGTAGCCGGGCACCATCTAGCTCTTCTGTCTCACAGTCATATAGGCTGCAGATTGGATGGTGTACCAGTTGCTAGGACTAATTGTTTCCATGAATTTTGGTTTTCTTCATTCTTCTTTGCTCTGGACGAGGAGAGACCCATCATTGCATCTAGACGGCAGCTTGCTAGCTTTTAAGATCCCAGTCGCTACTCGCCAAAGTAGGAAGTGGAACAATGTTTTGTATAGTATGTTATGCCAATTGAGTTTGATGTCCCCTGCGACTATGGTCCCAAGCCTGCGGGTTCAACTACTTGGTCCCTCTGGGTAGCTGGCTGTGACCAAGCCATGACCACAACCTTGCCCCTTGTCAGCTCTACTATACACCTGGGAATTCTGATCATTCACATAAACTTATAGGACCATTGTCTGCCAACCCTATATATGTTCTTGGATACACTCCCCATTTCATAGCCATACCTAATTGTTCAGCCTGTCCACCCATCTATCCACCCATATACACATGTTAGCCTTCACTGACAACGCAGTACTATATGTGCAAAAGGGTTCATATTTGTTGTCTGTACCTCCCATGTACCTCTCTATGTCTTTCCCATCCTCAGTGCTGCCAAATTGGTCACTCACATTTGGTGCATTGCCCTTCTCTTCACCCAAATCAATACTTATCTCTATCTATCTAACAGCATTCCCTCCCCTTCCCTCCCACCACTGGTAACCAACAAAGAAAATTTCCTTCTATAGATAAACCTTTCCTTAACTTTTACAATAATGGACTAATACAATATTTGTCCTTTTGTGATTGACTTATTAGAATGGACCTGAATTTTTTAAATGTGCATGTGGTAGTTATATTTGTGTGTCAATTTGGCTGGGCCTGGTTGAGTGGCTGGGCAGTGGTGGTAATTATTCCCCATGATGAGACTGGCAATCAACTCCATGGTGGGATCTACCATAAGCAGCTGAGTAGCTGCCTTTGGGATGTGGTCTGCTTCCTGTGTATAAGGAGAAGCTTTGAGAATGGTCTCTAGCCTAATACATGCTTGGACCCTGCATGTAGCCGTGTCATTGCTCAGCAGCCTGCTATGCTCTGCTGACCTTGGGACTTAAAATGGACTTAAGTTAATGGCCTGCCATGTGGTTTGGTAACATCAGGAGTGTGCCTTTTTACTTGTCAACCGTGGGGCTTCACAGCCACAGCAGTCAGCAGCTGTCTGAGTGAAGAAATGCCTCTAGCTCCAGTGGGCCAGGAGCAGGAGGCAGAGCTGGACCCCAAGGTTGAGGGGCTTTCACACAGCCCCCAGAGCCTGACCGTTTGAACTTGGACTTAAAGTCTCTAAATTGTAAGAATAAATTCCTGTTTGTTAAGGCCATCCCATTTGTGGTATATTCTTGTCAGAGCGGTACTAGGTAACCAGAACAGTGGGTGAACTGGGACAGTAACAAGAAAGGAAAAAAAATAAAAGGTTGATCTCCTGCTAGTATCTTAATCTCCCTCTTAGAAAACAAGGGCAGCATGCACGCTGCAGAGCAACCAAATCTCTTGACGGTAGAGTCAGAAACAGTGTTGCCCTGCTCAAATATGGTGGCTAATTGCACTACTTTGAATGTATGTCACTATTCACAGTCCTAGCAATAACCTAGTCTTCTGTATCAGGCTCTTAAAATGGCTCACCATGCCTCTTCTCGGTCCCTATTTCAGGACTTTGACCCATAAATTTTCCCATTCCCGTTGTCATTCCACTTCACCCAAAGTTCCAAGTTTGCTTCTTTGGCATGACTAAACCAGTTTGAACTGCTCTGAAGCCCTTCTTTCCAGGAGCAGACTACCAGATCTTCATTGCACAAAGCCACTAGGTGGGCTTGAACCACCAGCCTTATTGTTAACAGCCAAGTGCTTAACCATTGCATCAACAGAGATCCTTCCCATTGAAAGCAAACCAAAATACCAGACTCACTGCCATCAAGTCGATTCTGACTCATAGTGACCCCCATTGGGTTTCTGAGGTGATAAATCTTTATGGAAGTAGATTGCCCCTTCTTCCTTCCATGGAGTGGCTGATGGGTTTGAACCTCCAGCCTTCTGGTTAGCATTCAGATGCCTCAGGCACTGTGCTACCAGACTCCTTCCCATTGAAAGCAGCGTGGCCTAAAAAAACAGTTGAAATATGTCAGCAGAGTAATGATGACATATAAACCTTCCAAAAACACAATACAAAACATATTCTAATCCTTAATATAAAATGTAATGATAGTAAAAATCTTTTGTGAAATGGTCATAACATACTTTCCTAATGTGTACCCAGTGGAATAATGCAAGCAGTGTTTGGTGTTGTGAATTTAATTATTAATAGCTTATTTAAGAACTGCAGTACAAATATTTATTCTTGGTGTGGTACAGCAGTTTTATTTAAATTACACTCCTCTTTTCCACATTTTCTGATTTTGTCAGGAATTAAGAAGCAGTGAAATCAAATTTTATTCTTTCACAGGTCGGGTTACTTCGACAGAAGTTAGACAGCCTGGAAAAGTGTAACTTAGCAATGACACAGAATTATGAAGGACAACTTCAAACATTAAAAGCTCAAGTAAGGAGATGCCTTGTAATCTAATATCATAATGTTAATTGTGCTACTGATCTATAAAAATATGTGAATTTTATTTAAATGATTGTTTTTAAGGCAAGCAAAATTTTTTGCAATTTTAGTTACAGATTACATGTTTGGACTTTTCCTTCATTGTTTTTATATAATTATTTTTGTCTCTTTTACTAGATTGTCAACTCTGTATCCCTTTAACTGCCAGCACAGTGTTAGATTACTAATCCTCTATGTTCTCAAGAGACCTGTGGTTAATTAAATTATAATAATTATCTATATAAACAAAATACAGAAAACAAAGTTATCTTCTGGTGTCATCACTTCCTAATAAGGATATCCTTTAGTGTATGGCAATTTAAAATATGGAAGTTTGCTATTATGAAATAGATAATTGAAAGAATAAAACTAGTCTATATTACCTTTATATTTATAGAGCTATTCGACAATGATAAAGCGTCTCTGAATATGTGATGAGAGAAATACTGATTTCTTTATTTATCCCTATACCTCCCCACTGAGCTGGCAAGCAAAAAGTCTTTCCCTTACCACTGCACATAGAGCAGTAATCATCTAAGCATCTCAGACTCAGCAGATGCTTAACTCCTTATATAACCTAGTAAGTGAATCGATGGAAAATAAGGTTTATTATTGTACTGGATTGAATGTTGTTGTTGTTAGGTGCCATTACTCACAGTGACCCCCTATGTACAGCAGAATGAAACACTGCCCGATCCTGTGCCGTCCTCACAATCATGGCTGTGTTTGAGCCATTGTTGCAGCCACTGTGTCAATCCATCTCATCGAAGGTTTTCCTCTTTTTCCTCTGACCCTCTATTTTACCAAGCAGGATTTCCTTCTCCAGACACTGGTTCCTCCTGATAACATGGCCAAAATATGTGAGATGAAGTCTTGCCATTCTCATTTGTAAGAAGCATTCTGGCTATACTTCTTCCAAGACAGATTTGTTCATTTTTCTGGCAGTTCTTGATATAGTTAATATTCTTTGACAACACCACATGTCAAAGTCACCAACTCTTCTTTGGTCTTCCTTATTCGTTGTCCAGCTTTCACATATGTATGAAGTGTGAAATCTTTGCTTTTTAGAACGTCAAAGAGGTCTTTTGCAGCAGATTTGCTCAATGCAATATGCCATTTGTTCTCTTGACTGCTACTTCCATGAGCATTGAGTATGGATCCTTGACAACTTCAATCTTTTCTCCATTTATCTTGATGTTGTTTATTGGTCCACTTGTGAGGATCTTTGTTTGAGGTATAAACCATACTGAAGACTATTGTCTTTGATCTTCATCAGTAAGTGCTTCAAGGCTTTTTCACTGTCAATAAGCAAGGTTGTGTCATCTGAATATTGTAGATTGTTAATGAGTCTTCCTCCAATCCTGATGCTGTGTTCTTCTTCTATAGTCAAGTTTCTTGAATTGTTTGCTCAGCATACAGATTGAATAAGTATGGTACAAGGATACAACCCCAGCACATACCTTTCCTGATTTTAAACAAGGCAATATCCCCTTGTTCTGTTCGAATGACTGCTCTTGTTCTATGTACAAGTTGCCCAACCAAGAGCACAGTTAAGTTAGCCATAATTTCTTATGATCCATATAGTCAAATAAGGAGCTCTGGTGGCACAGTCCCTAAGACATGTGACTGCTAACCAGAAAGTTGGTCATTCAAACCCTCCAGCTGCTCCACAGAAGGAAGATGAGGCCATCTACTTCTATAAAGATTTACTAACCTCTGAAACCCAGTAGAGGTTGCTATGAGTGTGGGTATCGACTTATTGCGATGAGTTTGGTTTTTTGTTTGTTTATACAGTCAAATGGTGTTATGTTTCAATAAAACACAGGTAAACACATTTCTGGTATTCTCTGCTTTCAACCAAGATCCATTTGACATCAGCAATTATATCCCTCACTTCCCTAGTGATATTGCCTTGGAAACCCAAGGAGGGGTCTCTATGAGTCAGATCTGACTCAACAGCAGTGAGTTTTATATCCTTTTCTGAATATGGCTTGAATTTCTGGCAGTTCCCTATCTATGTACAGCTGCAACCATTTTTAAAATATCTTCAGCAAAATTTTACTTGCATGTGAAATTAATGATACTGTTCAATAATGTCTGCATTCTTTGGGATCACCTTTCTTTGAAATAGGCATAAATATGGATCTTTTCCAGCCAAGTTGGCCAACTTTTTGGTTAGTAGTCATCTGCTAACCATTTCCACCACCCAAGGACCTTTCATACCCACTAAGATATCCATAATTTTTAAAAAGGATGGAAATAACAAGTTTTGATGTGGCAAAGGATCTGGTGAAATTGTAAATCTCATACATTGTTTCAGCGTGAATATAAAATGGTGTAGCCACTTTGGAAAACAGTTTCCTCTAAAAGTCTTCCATAGACTAGTGGATGCTTCTGGCATTGCATCCATTTGTTGAAACATGTCAATGGGCATTTTGTCAATTCCTGGAGCCTTGTTTTTCACCAGTGCCTTCAGTGCTGCTTGGACTTCTTCCTTCAGTACCACTGGTTCTTGATCATATGCTACCTCCTGAAATGGTTGAGCATCAACCAATGCTTTTTGGTACAGTGACACTGTGTATTCCTTCTCTCTTCTTTTAATGTTTCCTGCATCATTCAATATTTTGCCCATAGAATCCTTTAATATTGCAACTCAAGGCTTGAATTTTTTCTTCAGTCCTTTTAGCTTGAGACATGCTGAGTATATTTTTTTCCTTTTTGATTATCTAACTCTAAGTCTTTATACATTTCACTATAATACTATATTTTGTCTTCTCAAGCCACCCTTGAAATCTTTGTTCAGCTCTTTTTACTTTATCGTTTTTTCCATTGGCTTTAGCTACTCTACATTCAAGAACAGGTTTCAGAATCTCTTCTGACATCCATTTTGGTCTTTTCCTTCTTTCCCATCTCTTTAATGACCCCTTGCTTTCTTCATATATGATGTCCTTGATGTCATACCACAACTCATCTGGTCTTTGGTCATTAGTGTTCAATGTGGCAAATCTATTGAGATGGTCTCTAAATTCAAGTGGGATATATTGAAGGTCATACTTTGGCTCTTGTGGACTTATTTAATTTTCTTCAGCATCAACTGAACTTGCATGGGAGCAATTGATGGTCTGCTCTACAATCAGCCCTGGCCTTGTTTTAACAGGTGATATTGAGCTTCTCCATCCTCTCTTTTCATAGATGTAGTTACTAAGCATTACGAAAATGCCAAGTAAAGCCACAATGAGATACCCCTTCATACCCACTAAAAAATTTTAAAATTCCATTGGTGTCAAATTGATTCCAACTTATAACGACCTTGTATGTTACAGAGTAAAATTGAACTCCATAGGGTTTCCTTGGCTATAATCTCTACAGAAGCAGATCTCCAGGCCTTTCTTCTGCAGAGTTGTTGGTTCAAATTGCCAACTTTCTAGTTAGTAGTCATCTGCTAATCATTTGAACCACCCAAAGACCTTTCATACCCAATAAGATATCTATAATTTTAAAAAAGGATGGATAATAACACGTTTTGATGAGGATGTGGCGAAATTGCAAATCTCAGTGTGAGTATGAAATGGTGCAGCCACTTTGGAAAATAGTTTCCTCTGAAAGTTAAATATAGAGTTACTGTATAACCCAGCAATTTCACTCATAGGAATATATCCAAGAGAAGTGAAAACATATGTCCACACGAAAACTTATAAAAATGTTCATAATAGCATTGTTCATAATAACCAAAAAGTAAAATCAATCTAAATATACACCAACTGATGAATAGAGCAGCACTCTGTGGTATGTTCATATAGTGGGATATTGTTCAGTCATGAGAAGGAATGAAGTACTAATAGGTGCTACAACATGGATGAACCTTGAAATCAGTGGGCTAAGTGAGGGAAGTCTGACACAAAAGGCCACATATTATATGTTCTCATTTAAATTAAATGTCTGGACTAGGTAAATCTATTGTTGGTATGCGCCGTCGAGTCGGACCCGACTCATAGTGACCCCTCCTTGGGTTTCCAAGGCAGTATCACTACGGAAGTAGATTGCCCCATCTTCCTTCTGAGGAGTGGCTGGTGGGTTTGAACCGCCAGCCTTCTGGTTAGCAGTCAAGTGCCTTAGGCACTATGCTACCAGAGCTCCCAGGTTGTTGTTGTTTGCCATTGAGTCGGCCCTGACTCATAGTGACCCCTCCTTGCATTTCCGAGGCAGTATCACTACAGAAGTAGGATTGCCCAACCTTCCTTCCGAGGAGTGGCTGGTGGGTTTGAGCCGCCAGCCTTCTGGTGAGCAGTCAAGTGCCTTAGGCATTATGCTACCAGAGCTGCTAGGTAAATCTATAGAGACAGAAATAGGTTAGTGGTTGAGGACTGTGGGGAAGAGGGAACAGAAAGTGAATTTCTACTAAGTACAGGGTTACTTTTTGGAGTGATGAAAATAATCTGAAATTAGATTGTGGTGGTGGTTGCACAATTTTGTAGATATACTATAAGCCAATGAATTTTACTTTTAAAAAGTAAAGTTTATGGTTGTTGTTGTTGTTACGTGCCGTTGAGTCATCCAAGGAGTGGTAGGGGAATTATATCTCAAAAATACATATGAGAAAAAAATTAAGAAAGCAGGAGGGCTACATTAGTAGCAGATAAAATAGACTCTATTATTCAAAACGGCTTTATTTTTAAGTCAAAAATTGTAAACAACCCAAATGTCCCTCAGTAGTTGTATGTTTAAACAAACTGTGGTATTCATATCATAGAATACTACTCAGCAATAAATAGGAACAAACTATGGATACATACAACAACCTAGATGGATCTTAAGATCATTACACTGAGTGAGACATATCCAATCTCAAAAAATCACATACTGTAAGATTTTATTTCTATAACATTCTCAAAATGACAAAATTAGAGAGTTAGGAAACAGATCAGCTGCCCGACGTTAGGGATGGTAGGGCTAAGGTGGATGAATGTGACTAGAGAGAGGTAACATGACAGAGATCTTCGTGGTGATGAAATAGTTCTTTATGTTGATCGTGGGTGTGGTCATACAATGTGGTTGCAGGATTACAACTTAGAGTGACCCTACAGGACAGTAGAACTGCCGCATACGGTTTCCTAGGCTGCAATCTTTAGTCTTTTCCTAAGAGCAGATCACCTGGCCTTTTCTCCTGCAGAGGGACTGTTGGGTTCAAACCACTGACCTTTTGTTTAGCAGCTGAACACTTCACCATTGTACCTGGAGAGCTCCTTCACAAATCTGCACGTGATAAAGTGGTATAGAACTATATGCAGATACTGTGTTTATGTCATTGCCTGGTTTTGATATTGTACCATAGTTACATAAGATGTACATACTGGGGAAAACTGGTTGAAGGGGACATAGAACCTCTCTGTAATATCTTTGCAACTTCCTCTGAATCTGCAACTACTTCAAAATAGAATGTTAAAAAATATTGGAAACCATTTTATAAAAATTTCCTAACAGATGTTGATACATTCATTATGCTACATTTAATCTACTATTTGAAGGTAGACAAAAAATGGGAAAGAAATACAGAATATAAATTATAAAAAGAATAATTGGATTAAATGAAAAAAGAAAGGGATTAAATAGTTACTAAAATGTATTTAAACTTATATCTCATGTTACTTATATCATTTGTATCTTTTAAATTTAATATTTCGTTTTCTTGATTAAAGTATAAGCTGGTTATTTTATAGATCATGTTACTGAAATTAAAATTGTCAACACAAGATGGCACTAAACAAAAGTAAGAGAAAAAGTGTGTGTGTGTGTGTGTGTGTGTGTGTGTTTTAATGGTGAGCTTTGCTACATATGGTTAAAACAAATCTGAACAAAACATTTATCAAGTGAATCATTGTTTAACTGTGCAGTTAATGAAATCCCAAATTTACATGAAAGCTGAATCGTGCTCAGCTTCGATAATTTAGTTTTAATAACTGGTTCTATCTTCACTAATTGGAACATTTAAGCTTTACTGCATTTTCTAATCATGACTTAAATTTTCAAAAAGGTGCACACAGAAAAGAGCTATAGTGAAATCAGGTTAGAACTAATTGGTAAGAGTAAAATGTTAACATTGTCTGTTATTTACAGTTTTCCAAACTGACAAATAGCTTTGAAAAACTGAGATTACACCAGATGAAACAAAACAAAGTTCGACGAAAAGAATTACCAAACCCCAAAGAAGAAATTCCATTTGAAGTAAGCAATTTGAATGAGAAACTGGAGGTGAGATATACTTCCTTAGTTTCTTCATGTGTATTAAAGATTGATTTTTATTGTTGTTGTTTTGGATTATTTGTCTTTAGTGTACACAATGGTTTGTACATCTATGGTAATGAAAACCATTACAAATCAACTTTTATTGAATATATTTTCTTAGTGCACTTTCTCTTCAGGCACTTAGTGAATTAAAACATCACTTTGATTTATACATCTTATATATATCAGCATTTTAAGAGAGCCAAAAAAACAGTTCAAAGAAATTGCAGATGTTGAATGAAATTGAAAGACACCCCTGGGGTCAGTTAAAGTGAATATTTAATAAATCTTTTAATGGCTCTTTAACTATTAGGTACTTAAATTCCAATGAAGCTTCATAACAGTTTTGGAACAGAGCATGGAGTTTCAGGGTTTTTTATTTAAAGAGGTGGTGTCACTCCAGTTTAGTCACCCTGTATCATCCAGAACTTCTAAAATCTCAGTCTCTAAAAAGGTTTGCTATGTCTTGAATGTCCTTCTCCCTATCTCCTTAACTTTCCACTGTTTCCAGCTTTGGGAAAAACAATCCAGCTATTTTTCCTTCCCTATGTTCTTGAGTAAGGAGCTGTGATGGCGTAGTGCCTCAGGCATTTGACTGCTAAACAGAAGGTTGGCAGTTCAAACCCACCAGCCAACTCTGTGTAAGGAACACTGGGCAATCTACTTCTATAAAGATTTACTGCCTAGGGAACCCAAAGGGGGTTGTTATGAGTCAAATTTGACTCGATGGCAGTGAGTTTGTTTTTTTTTTTTTTTTTTGGTTTATGTTCTTGAGTATTCCTGCAACAAGTCACATAACAGCAGATAGATCCTATCATAAATTCCTATTATCTAACTTAGCCAGGTCCCCACTGTTCTTCAACTTTTAGTTGACCCTTACCATGTTAGTCACTCAATTGCTCTCATTCTTCTTAAATCCTAAAGCCTAGCACTCCCCTCTCCCCAGCCTATGATTTTAGTTTTTTCTAGTTTATTAAAATGTAATGGTTCTGTACCTCCCAATCACCCCGGCTAGTAACCTCTTAGAAATATTTTATTCCTTCTTTCTCTTACTTTTCCTCCCTCATATTCAGTCCAGAGCTGCCCCTTCCTTCTGTCATCTCTTTCTATCTCCTATCTAATTGTCATTGCCAAGTTTCATATGTTCGTATCTTTGTTAACTTTTCCTCCAAAAGATCTTTAAGAGCAGAGGAAAGGAAAAAAGTTTGGATCACAGCCCCAGAACAGCCTGTTGCAGGAACATCCTAGAGAGTCTTGTGTTTTATCTTTAAAATTCCTGCAACATCTACATTCTACACCATTACATACAAATGTTAGATACTAGTTTTGTATCCACCACTACATGAAGTTGACCCTCTAGGAAAAGGCACCATGTAAAATCCCCTGGCTCTTGCAGTGTGGTATAACCAAATGTTTCAGAAATGTCCTGGTCTCATAGAAGATGCCCAGAGATATGCATCATCCTACACATGTACTTTCACTGAAAATACAGAGATTCAGTCACTAATTATTCATTTGATTGACTTACCATGGTAGGGGTTTCGTAAGAGAATCACATTCATACAAATTGTTCAGACAAAAAGAAAAAGTATTGAAATTAATATTAGTTTGTGTATATACATTTTACATTTAGGGATTTAATATTTCCATAAAATATACCTCATGAAATTCTAGTGGAAATTAATTGCAAAATATGGTTTGATATGTAGGTACTTTCTATATAAAATTTTAAACACATGATATATACAGTATAATGTGTATAATTATGGAAATACTTCATGTGCCTATTTTTATTTATACCCATTGGAAAAATTAATGTGATGGACTGAGCCAGTCCCCATCTAATCATCATTTTTCTTTGGGACAGATATTTGTGCATTGGCATAGTATTAGAGCAATGGAAAGCAGTATGGAATAGTAGAAAGACCGTAACAGTTTATAATTTGAAATGGACCCTGTGACCTATAGGCAAGTTTGTTGGCCTCATAGTCATTTCATCATCCTCATTTAATCAGTAAATGAGGTTTAAAATACTGTATAGGTGACATTGTGGTTATGTAAGGAAAAAAAAACAATATATACACATGTATGTATATAAATTAGATGCACACTTGCAGTATTTAAGGGTAAAAATATACAAGATTTGGAAGTTGCCTTAAAATACTGCAATAAAAAAGAATGTAAGATAGGTGAAATAAATACTAACAATGTTTATGGTAGTTGAAACTGACTTAAGGACACACGTGCATTTGTTTTACTCTCCTTTTACATGTGAGAATTTTCATAAGAAAATGTGAAAACATTCCTATAGGTAGAGGTTTGTAGAGTTCCTGACATACAGTAGTTACTCAAGAGATGTTACTTGTATCTCTCAATATTTTGTAGAGGGATGTTTTGAAAAATCTAATAACACAGCTTCCACTAGAGACTCGCATTTGAATGACCCCTGACCCGCTTTCAACCTTAAAGACCTAGAAAAGGTTTTCCAGTCATGAGGAACTTACCTGGGGCTCCAGGCAAGTCTGCTGACCCTCAGAAATGTGGGCTAGAACCTCCAGTCACTACAAAAACCTTTGTGAAGCTCTAGGTTTTTACATGGCCCCATAACTACTGGATGCACTGTGTTGCCCCCTAGTCCTGAACCAATACATCTATTAAGATCAAGGAAGCCAGGACCGTTATAAGCACCTGCTGATATGTCTGTATATGCACATATTTCTAGCCTTGCTTGGTTTCATTCTTGGGCCTCATTTCTACCTATTGTAGAGTTTGTAAGAAGTTGAGGTTAGTACTCCTGCCTCTTACAAGAGAAGCATTTATTCCCACGATTATTTGAGTTTGTTGAGTGAGTGATGCTAAATATTAGTATCTTCTGAAAGTTATAAACTCCTTAAGTCAACCAAAGACTCCTTTCTAAATTAAATTAAACAAATTATTTCTAAATCTAGATTGTATTGATTTTAAAATGTTACCTATTACCTACTAGAGCCTAGTTTTGTAATTTTTTTACTAGCTCCTGTTTTCATATACCTAATTTTTATATTGAATGTCAGAATCCAGGTCAATAACTTTAAAAGGATTGTCTCCATTTAGCCTAGTAAATACCATTATCACAAGGTATTATTACATATTGTTTATTTTTCTCCAGCTTTATTAACATCACTCAATTTCAAGTCACCTTTAATTACTATAAAAGCCTCCTAATTTATAGCCTTCCTTCGCTAATTCCCCAAATGTTCTTTACAATAATTTCTGTATGGAAAATCCAAAATGCCATGTTCTTCCCATTTTAAGCAAGATGTAGCTTTCATTCTTTAATGGGTGTGTTTATTTTGTAGTCACAGCCAAACCAGTCATTTCCATCATCTTCAAAATAATATGGATCACTAAGGCCAAATGAACTATCTTCTAATATTTTCAGAATGGCTGAAATAATTACAACATCCTTTGTATACTTTTTATGTCATACTATAAAGCTCTGGTGGCAGAGTGGGTAAGATATTTGGCTGCTAACCAGAGGATCAGAGGGTCAAACCCACCAGTTGCTCCACAGGAGGAAGATAAGGCAATCCCTTCCATAAAGATTTACAGCCTTGGAAACCCAGTGGGGGTCACTAAGAGACAGAATTGACTCGATGGCAGTGGGTTTGGTTTTGGGTTTTATGTTTGTACTTTTTACACAGTAAAATTATTTGTTTACATGTACATTTTCCCTACGTTACTATATATAACAATTTTTTTCTTTAAAAATAGGTTCTTTTTATCACGAAATATTTCCAAATTCTCTTCTCTCCTAGCTCTATCATAGTGCTTGGTGGAGACTTGGTTCTGGTGCCTAATGGACAATTGTGCTCAATAAATATTACTAAATTGATGATTGGATACAGTAATACATTCATGCTGTATATCTATATGCAATAGTATATAGCCAAGGACTTAGTAGCTATGGAATTTATTTTAACTATTTTGTTTTCTTTGCAGAATTGAGTGAGAAATGATTAAATTCTAGGAAATATTAATACTATGCTTTTGTTTGTACTTTCATGGAATATAAATGGTGCCCAACACTTTGGCAGACATTGTGAATAATAGAAAAGTAATAAAATACACAGTCCTTACCGTTAAGTTGCTTACACCCTGGTAAGAAAGATAAGATATAAATGGCCAGCCCTAGACAAATTGGTAAGCAGTGAAGTTTATTTTAGGCATCCCCAAAGCCATGTCTTCTCCTGTTAGTAAAGTATGAATCATAATCATGTTCCAAAAATTTACTACTTAAGTAAAAACTTGAAAAACTTAGCATGCTATGTCAAGTCAGTTCTACCACTTCCTTCCCACCGGAGCCTCAGTCCAGTTGGTCCTGCCTAAAAGAAGGTTGACATGTTTTTTCCATTCCTTAGCCTGAGTTGATCTTTTTATCATTTTGGATAGTAGATTTTAAAGGGGACAAGGTCACTAAATAAGTCAAAACTCTATTCCCTAAAAAGGCAAGGGAACAGATTCAGTGACTGAGTGTAGGAAAGGAAAGGAAGGGAAAAGTTATAGTATAAGCTCCAGGAAATAGAAGGAAGAATTGGAGGATGCAAAAATTTCTTTGAAGCTCCCTTATTAGTAATCAGCATTTGTTATCAGAGACACTTTATTTTTAACAAATAAAATGTTTAAGTATAAGTTCTATATTTTCCTACGTAACGTAGAAGATATGCAGTTGGCCTCCCAATCTGCAGGTTCCACATGGGTGAATTCAACCAACCTCAGATTGAAAATACCTGTGGGAGGAGGGGGCAATTAAGTGGTTAAAACAGTACCTGGAAGGGTAAGATGGAGCCTAAAGTACTATTTGCACATCATTTACATTGTATTAGACATAATAAATAATTATAAAACATTTAAATTTATAAATATTTAAAGCACGCAGTAATATGTGTATAGGTTATACGCAAATATAGTGTCATTTTATATAAGGCATGTGCATCTGCAGATTTTGGTACCTTGGGGGTCCTGAAAACAACCCCTACTAATACTGAGGAATGAGTGTATCTAGTAATAAATCCAAGATGAGTGAATTAGTGATTTTTCAAATCCACCAGCCACTCCTCAGAAGGAAGACTGGGCAATCTACTTCCGTAGAGATACCGCCTCGGAAACCCAAGTAGGGCTCTCTATGAGTCAGAATCGACTCAACAGCAGTGAGTTTTGAATGGGGAAAGAATAGACTTAACATTTTTTCCCTCAGAGTGAGGCTGTACAAGGGGAAAAGAAAAACCTGTTCTCTGTGATTTAAAATGAGTAATTTTCTTCAATTTATGTTTGTTCCCCTCTTTTGAAAGGAATTTAGAGCAAAGTCAAGAGAATGGGACAAGCAAGAGATATTGTATCAGACTCATCTGGTTTCTTTAGATGCTCAACAAAAATTATTATCTGAGAGGTGTAATCAATTTCAGGTACATGATCTTACAATATTCTCTAAATAAGAAGAAATTTAAGGTTAAATATTAATATCTTTGCTATCCAGCACGTAATCTGGTTATGAGTAGAAATGCTGACTAAGGGAAAATACCTAACCAGAGTAAGTCCAAAATTTGGTAGTCACAGTGCATGAAATAATTGTTATGGTGAATTCGCTTTAGACTACATGTCTCAAAGGTTGATACTATTAAAAATTTTCATTGTTATGTCATTAAATAACATATATTTTGCATACCTATGGGCTAGCACTTAGATAGTCTACAATTGCTTAGACTCAAGAACCTTCCAGTTTAGACACAGAGATAACACATGTACATAAAACCAAACTAATCTAGGTACCATCAAGTTGATTCGAATTCATGCCACCACCATGTGTATCAGAATAGAACTGTGCTCCACAGGGTTTTCAATGCCTGATTCTTTTGAGGTGCCTCTGGGTAGACTCTAACCTCCATACTTTTGGTTATAAGCACATTAACTACACCACTGGGACCTCATTTATGTACATATTTATAGATAATGACAAGTAAATGGAAAAGATCAAATCCTTTTGGAATTCAGAAGAATAAGAGAAAAATTGGGGATGAGTTAAATCAGGAAATGGCTTCCAACAGAGGTAAGACTTGGCCTGGACCTTGAACAATGGATATATTTTAACTTAAGAGGGAAAGAATTCCAGATGTTAGAAATACAATGAGGAAGGTCACTGAGGCAAGCGAACATACGATGAATTCTGGGATGAATTTGCTCTGTAAACTTTCACTCAAGTCACAGTAAAAAATTGGAAAAAAAAAAAAAAAGAGAGATGAATTCTGGGAATAGAAAATGGACCAATTGGCTGAGAGTTCTTATGGTAGGCAATAAGGGATAGTAGGCAATAAGCTTGGAAAAGTGAGTTGGATCCAGTAATAATAAGCCTGAAAGGCTTGGCTAAGGAATTTGGAATTTTTATTAAAGCCATTAAGAAACTAATTAAGTTTTGTTTTTAATGTACTTATTTTTTTCTTCTTTTTTTAAGTTACTTGAATTATATGTTATACATACTCTCTGAATTCAACAATATAAAATCTAATGTAAAATTAATAGCATCCTCTCTGAATCCATTCTTACTCAGTGTAAACACTTAACAATTTGGTGTTTATTTTTCTATACTTTTTCTTTTGTTTGTACAAAAATGTAAAATGTGTGTGTGTATAAGTTATATATTTTTCCTTTTTTAAGTTTTTTTTTTTTTTTTACTCACTGTAAACTATGGGCTTTCTTTCAAGTCACTACATAAAATTCCATCTAGTGCTGTGTAAGATTTCACAGTATATAACTAATTCTTCCCATCAATTCCCTTTTGATGAACATTCAGCTTGTTCCAGTTTTTTGCTACTATAATAATGTAATATATGTATATATATATATATATATATATATATATATATATATATATTAAAATGCTAGTACTTTCACATTGTTAGATAAAAATCCTAGAAATGATTACTGAGCTAAAGAGTATGTACATTCAAATTTTTAATAAGTAGTAGCAGATTATGTCTAAAAAAGTTATAGTTATTTACAATTTATAATTAAGCTATGGGAGTGCCCATACTTTTACCAGCATGAGATATTATCAGTCTTTGGATTGTTACCAACTTGATGGACAAATGGTAATAGCTTGATTTGCTTTACATATCCATGACTACTTCTAAGCTAAGCATCTCTTCATATGCTACTTCCAAACCAAATAACATACTCACTGCCATTGAGTCGATTCTGACTCATAACCCAAATGGGTTTCTAAGACTGTAAACCTTTACGGAAGCAGAGCACCTCATCGTTCTTTCATGGAGCAGCTGGTAGGTTTGAATCATTGACCTTTTGGTTAGCAGCCAAATGAGTTACCCACTATACCCCCAGAGTGCGTTCATGTGCTATTTAGCCTTTTTCATTTCCTTTTCTGTGAATTACCTCTTCATAACCTTTGCCCATTTTTATTTGTGTTGCTTTTTCTTGCTGATTTGTAGAAATGCTTCGTACATTAGGAATTATCTCTTGTTATATGTGTTGCAAACTTTGTTTCTACAATCAAATGGTTTTTACTTTAATTACTTAGTTATTCTGGTCATATTTTGGTCATTTCCAACCATTTTCTTGAGTCTATCACTTTCTGTCTTTTATAGCTTCCAAGATTGTCCTTCTTGCTTAATAAGACTTCCCAACCCCTAGACTCCTAACCCGTACTCATTTTCCGCATCTTTTCTCTAAGGTTATACAAATGTATTTTCTCTTTAAGCTATCTAAGACTTCAGTTTTAGAACAAAGACAACACTGAATTACAAAAGATCAAATTTTGTTATTGAATAACATATTTAAAGATGTTTTTCCTAATTCTTTTCCATCATTCTTAAACTTTGTGTAAACTTCTATATGGTATTCATCATTTAATTTACATAGTTTTCACATTTCTCAGAAACAGGCACAGAGTTACCAAACTCAACTAAATGGTAAAAAACAGTACGTAGAAGACAACAGTTCTGAAATTCCTCGACTGATACGTGAATCAGACCCTAGTTGTGAAACCAATGAAAGAGATGAGTTCATTATTGAAAAATTAAAATCGGCTGTGAGTGAAATAGCACTAAGCAGAAATAAGCTACAAGATGAAAATCAGAAGCTCTTACAAGAACTGAAAATGTACCAAAGACAATGCCAGGTGATGATTTTTTTTTTTTTTTTTTTTTTCAATTAATTGCCCCTGAGTTATATAATGGTGACTCAACAAATGTCTGGACTTGAAAGATAATTTTCTATTATATGTGTAAATTCAGTTTGTATTTCCTTAGCATGCAATTCTCACTTGATAAATTTAGGAATTCCATAAGTACTTTAGTCCACTAGAATGCACTTTGTGTTGTAGCGACATATACATGTGTTAACAGTGCAGCATAACAGGACTCACTTTCAGACCTATATGTCTAAAAGCCATATCCATGTAATCACCTTCTTTCCCCACTGTTCTCTCTGACTTGTTCCTCTTTGACTCACAGGAGGAATCCTGAGTTAGAGATCCAGGAAATCATTAAGGGTTCAACAAGCCAATAATCTCCAATGATAGGCATGGGGAGTCATTCCCTGTGATTTATCATTGCTAACCTTATCATACTCACTCACCTAACAGTAATCTAAAGTATTTTAGGCAACTTCCACATTGGCAGGTGTGGTTGATGGTTTTCCCAAGCAGCATTTTTTTCTTAATCCAACAGTCATTTTTCTTTTTTGAATCTATCAATTTCTTACAGCATTCGTCAAAGTTGGTCACCACTGATTTCTTTACTAAGCTCATATTTTTTATTGAGGTATATCTCAGTTACTTGAGGCATATGTTCCTATTCTGTCTCCCAACTCCAAGCATTTAACCTCTTCCTACAAGTTCCTCTGTGACAATTGGCCCATCTCTTGGCTCCTTCTAGACCCTCCCCATACTAAAAATACACTTTTTGAGGTCACTAAGCATTCTTTTTACTTCTCTGGGACACCTCACCCCGGGGCTTGTGACACATAAACTTCCGGGGTCGTTGCTTAGTCCTGGGCCTACTCTTCATCCCCCACCCTGTCCTGTTATATATTGATTCTGTGTGGGATTAGTCCTTTGACCTCTTTCTTGACCAGCATCTACTCTTCTCTGTCCCTTTTCCTCTGAGAACCAAGGGGACAGGACACAAGACTTCAAACTTTCACATTCTCTAGTATGTCAAGGAAAAGTACAACCTTCCTTCCTTCTTTCACCCCCCAATTTCAATTCCAGCTCTGTGTGTGTGTGTGTGTGTGTGTGTGTGTGTTTAGGGGGTGAGATTCTGATACATGTAAGAATATAGATCTGAGTAAGCAAAAAAAACAAGCCAAACTACAAAACTAAACACTGAGGAAGCCATACAATTCATAGAAATATAAAAGGTATTAATGGTGTTTTTTCTGGCTTTGCTATAATACAAATGAGATTAGCCCCTATTCTTCTCTAGAGGTCGTCCAAGGGACTTCTCCTGTTTATCTTGCCAGACAGCCCTCCTACTCCTGTTTAAACTGGGTTTGCATGGTTGCTGGTTCTGATGAAGATCTGTGTCTCAGAAGCTACTTCCCCTTTATCCCCCAGTCATGACTCTGGCCCTCCGTCAAAGAGGAGCTGTGTTTATACTGATGCCAGGATCACATTCAATAATTAAGGACATTATTTTTCTGGGTACTTCCTGGACATTCTCCCCTGGGCTGTGGTCACTCTGCAATGACTGAGAAGTTCTCTGCTTTGTCCTTTCTTGAGATCTTTCTAGCTCTGGTTCCTAGAAATCTATTCTCTGCTCATACCTGTTGTTCTCTGTTCTCTTTGGTTTGCCTGAAACGTATTTCATTAGCTAGCCTAAATATCCCGTCTGGCTCTACCCTTCTGTGAGGTTCAGCTTCTTCACTAACAACAGCTCCTTCTAATCTCCTTGTACAGAATTCTTTTGGGGCCCATTTATAGTGTCCAAGAACCTTCTTTCTTTTAGGATAAAGCTCAGCTCTTGTCTTCAGCTCACTTGGAAAATAGAAATAGCTATTCTTAACACCTGCATTCCTATTAAAGCCTCTGCTCTCACTTGGAAGCATTATTAAATTTAAACTAAGAATCTGCATTTTACATTTTACAAAAGAATTACATATATTAAAAAACAAAGCAAATTATTCTGGAACATCTCTTTCTCTCTCTCTCTCTCTCTCTCTCTCTCACACACACACACACACACACACCTGTAATAATCCTAATGAAAAGATTTTTTAAATAAACTTGGTTAAAAAAAAAAATCAAGATATCTAGAAGGACAAAATTTCTAGTCATAGAAAAACATTATTTTTGGCCCATTTAGAAAAAATGTTGAAAATAATGCTTTTATTTAGTCTTTGCTTTATTTCCAACTCTTACTTATGTTTTACTTTTTTGCTTTAAGACAAATATTAAATGAGAGTGTATCAATGGTTTACTACCTGGTATTTGATTTGAAGGTTTGGAATCACTGCTTCTTCGAATCATTAGGCAAATTTCTAAACAGATGGACCTTAAGCTTGTTTTAAAAAATTTATACTTGACCAAATGAGAATAATTACAGGTAAATACTGTAACCAGTATATGCATTTAGAACACAATTTCTCTTCTCTTCCCAAAATTGTCATATGACAGAGTATTTCACATTTTGCACATGAATGCAAGAAGACAACCATTTTAATTTGACTTTCTGTCACTTATTTTATAAAAAATTTTCCCTAGTTTACAACACACTTTTATGCTAGATGCATCTTAATTTTCACATGAATCATGTATTCTCACTTGTTTTTCTACAACCTTGAAATGTGTCATTATACATATTAATTCCATTGCAGATTATTTATTTACTATACTACGCTATGCTCATATTTTTAAAATGTGCAATATTTCCCATTAGAGATTAATAATAAAAAAATAAATTTCTGCATTTTTTCCTAGTATCTCTGCAAAAAGTGTTGAAATTATTTTTGTTTGTTATCATATCATTAAGATACCAGGCCACTACCATCCAGTGGAAATATAATTCAAGCCACAAATAAATTAAACTTTTCTAGTAGCCACATAAAAAATGGGTGAAATAAATGTTAATAATATATTTTATTTAATCTAATACATATCCAACATATTCTCATTTCAAATATGTAATCAATATAAAATTATTAATGGTATGTTTTACTTTTCTTTTTATACTTAGTCTTCAAAATCTGATGTATATTTTCTGCTTACAGCACATCTCAGTTTAGATGCTAAGTATTCATCAGAAATATCTATTTATGTATTTAGATTTCATAAAATTTCCAGTTGAAAAAGGAAATTTGCATACCTGAGTTGCTCCAAACAAACTTAAAAATGTTCCAGTAACTGAATCAACTACCAAAGCTCATTTTCCTGAATATTGACATCCACATTGACAAATAATTGATTTCACTTTGAAGCAAAAGCATTTCCAGTTTCAAAACTACATCAATCTAAATTCAATAAACTCACTAATTCTTGCATCAACATTAAATTCAATAGAGCATTGCATAAATCAAAACACAATTCTAAATTTATCAATACCAACAAAACCTTCAAATTTTTCTTGTACTTCTGCAACCAATTTACATAATGCTATCAATTCCAATTAAAATCTTATGCATATTCATACATTTTAGAAAAATCATTATTCTTGATTTATATTATGAAAAGTTCCTTCTGTAAAGATTTACAGCCTTGGAAACCCTATGGGATAGTTTTACTCAACCCAATAGGGTCTCCGTGAGTCTGAATCAATTTGACAGCAATGGATTTATGTAGCTTGATCACAAATAAGTTTTTCCTTTCCTCGGAGCTTCAAATTTAGCTTGTTAATATGCATTATGATACTGTTGAAAAAACATGTCTGCTATTTTTGTCATTGATTATTGAATATTTGCTTAGCATGTCTTTTGTTTCAGTAAAATATTGGAGTTTACAGTGCAGTAAATGTTTAAAGACTCTTCCAATTAGCCTTGACGAAGAACACAAGATAATTATTTTCATTATTTCAGCTGTTCCATATACTGCTGATGATTCAAAACATTTGCACATATATACATAATGTTTTTTACTAACTATATCCGTGACAGCTAAGGGAGACCAGGAAGTGAGCTGGAGATGGTTTGGAACAGCTAAGGAAGACCAGGAAATGAGTTGGTGGCAGTTTGGAACAGCTAAGGGAGACCAGGAAGCAAGCTAGCAGTGGTATGGAACAGCTAAGAGAGACGAGGAAGTGAGTGGAGCATTTTGGAACAGCTAAAGAAGACAAACTGGTCTGTCAATTTGTTGTACTGTGGTGGCTGGTATGTTGCTGTGAGGCTGGAGGCTATGCCACCAATGTTCCCAATGCCAGCAGGGTTGCCCATGGTGGACAGGTTTCAGGAGCTTACAGAACAAGACAGACTCGGAAGAAGGAAGAGACTATCCACTTCTCAAAGAATTGGCCAGTGAAAACCTTATGAATAGCATGGAAACACTGTCTGATATATTACTGGAAAACTCTATGAATAGCCCTAAGACATTGTCCAATATAGTATCAGAAGATGAGCCCCACAGGTCAGAGGGCACTCAAGATATGACTGGGGAAGAGCTGCCTCCTCAGATTAGAGCCGACCTTAATGATGTGAAGAGAGTAAAGCTTTTGGGACCTCCATTTCCTGATATGGTATGACTCAAAATGAGAATAAACAGCTGCAAACATCCATTAATAATTGGAACGTGAAATATATGAAGTGTGAATCTAGGAAAATTGGAAGTTGTCAAAAATGAAATGGAACACACAAAGATCAATATCCCAGGCATTAGTGACCTGAAAGGGACTAGTTTTAGCCATTTTGAATCACACAACCATATGCGAGGAATGACAAGTTGAAGAGGAATGTATGGCATTGATCATCACAAGAATGTTTTCAACATGTATCCTAAAGTACAATGCTGTCAGTGATAGGATGATATCCATACACCTACAGTGAAGACCAGTTAATACTGCTACTATTCAAATTTATGCATCAACCACCAAAGCCAAAGATGAGGAAGTTGAAGATTTTTACCAAATTCTACAGTCTGAAATTCACCAAACAGCCAATCAAAATGTATTGATTATCACTCGTGACTGGAATACA